AGAAACATACACAGGTATATCCTGTTTCTCTGGAGAAGCCTAACTAGTACAATGGCTATAATATACTGAGCACTTACTGTGTCTCCACTGTTACGGTTATTACCTCTACCATTTCATTTAATTCATGCATTATGCCCATTTTCCACATGATGAAACTGATTCGAAGCAGGTATATTACATCCAGGGTCAGTGAACTAACCCTGGCATTACAGCCAGGGCCTGAAAACAGATGCATTGCTCCTAATGCTGCATTTTTACATATTTATTATTATCCTATTTTTTCATGTGGCATAAACTATTAGTGTTCACCTAAAGTCCACGTGCTCCTCTACATTTCCCAGCCCTCCTTTCAGTTATGATGGGCTGTGTGAATAGTGCTGCTCAATGAAATATGTGTGGATGTGACATGTGACCTTATGGAGTAGGCAATTAAGAGCTGATATGACACCTTCATTTTTCTTTCTCTGACTATTCAACCCTGGAGGACACCTGTCCCAGCTGGCATAGTTACAAGCTGATAGCAGCCCAGGTCGCTGAGTCATCTTTTGGATAAGAGCCACACAGGAAAGTCATCTAAGCCACATAAAACTTTGAGTAGGAAATAAACTTTTATTGGGGCAAGCCACTGACATTTTAGTGTATGTTACCATAGCAAATGGTACACTATTAAATTCCAATTTATACCAATATGAGATAATATAAAAAAATGATCAGCAAATGACACATTTTGTGAATTTATGTATATAATGTAACATAGCAAGAACCTGGCTAAGTAATTCAAATCCTAATTTGAGCTTGGACAAGCGACTGACCTTGGATGAATTACTTAGCTATTCTGTGCTTCTCATCTAAATCAGGGGTTATTATAATAAGTGGCTGTAATAATCAGGTAAGTATAGGCATACCTCAGAGGTATTGCGGGTTTGATTCCAGGCCACCACAATAAAGCAAACATCTCAATAAAGCAAGTTGTAATATGTTTGCTGATGGAAGGTCTTGCCTTCAAATTGTAAAAAGCACAACATCTATGAAGCACAATAAAGCAAAATACAATAGATTGAGGTATGCCAGTATATTTAAAGCTATGGTAACTTTGAAAAGTATAAAATATGAGATATGTAAGTAAACAATAATATACATTGCCAATATAAAACAATTTTTTACTATCATTCACTCAAGTTCATTAAGCAAACAACAATATATTTAATAAAAGCATGCAGCCAGCACTAAACTAGGTTCTGGGGGTAGGAAAATGAATGAATGAAACATGGTTCGGATTTACAGAGTTCACAACTTATTAGAGGAGCCATGTGATTAATGTTGCAAGTCAATAAGCACCATAAAGAACCATTATTGGACTTCACAATTATGGCTTTGTAAAAAAAATATATATATATTTCATTTCCAGTTTGAGATTTTTGGCATGAGTAACCCAGGCTATACTGATGATATGGTAGAAGGAACATGTCTTCCAATTCACCTTCCAGCTTAGGTTTCCCCCTCTCTCCAAATCATTCTCTAGGCTGTCTGTAGAACACAGATTTGATTAAAAATGCTACTACTACTACTTGAAAGTCTTTGAAGTACCTCTATTCCTTATAGAATAAAGTATTGGAGAGTAGCAAGATGCACCTGCAGCCCTACATAGGATGCAGCAAACATCCTCTCACATGAAAGAAGAATGAGTGAGAAGTCATGTAAAGAGAACTAGGAACTAAGACAGGACTAAATTCTGCCTCTTATTGTCTTTGTAGCCTTGGATAAGAATCCAAACTTTTCTAGATCTCTGCTTCTCCATCAATGAAAAGGAGATGTTATCTGTTCTTATATTTAACAAGGTTGCTAAGTCGGATGACAATGTAACTGTTAAAGTGAATTATGATTTATCAAACACACACACACACACACACACACACACACACACACACACACAATGAAAAATGCTGATGTAAAGTGTCATAAAGTCCAGAAAAGAAGAGTCCTAACCAACATAAATGTTTTTGACCCAACAAAAACATCTTGGTCAATATCTACTTTTCTATGTTTTATCATTCTAAAAATGGAAATTGTTGTCAGACTACTAGCAAACTGGAAATTTATATAATTATTGAGAAACCCAGAAAGTTTCATAGGCTTTCACTTCATTTTAGGCCTTGGAAAAGTCTACAGTTATATTCCCAATTGGTAAGACTTAGATGTGGCAGAAATCTCTAGTGCCATCTGGAATGGCATTTGAGACTTTTAAAGCCAGAGTAGGATGGAGCCAGAACAGGCTAAAAGTCAGATTTTGTGGAAGCTCTTAAGGTGTAACAGTGGCTATTATCAGTCCTGGTATCTGCTTGAAATAAAGTGGTTATAATTCATTAACAGAAAAAAATTTTCAGGAAATGAAGCAAAATAATAAAAAACAAAACGGAAAAATATTTTAAATAGAGAAAAAATCCTGTATACTGTCCTATAGTGCACTATCCACAGATTTAAAAAAAAAAAAAAAAAAAAAAAAAAAAAAAAAAAAAACACCACTGTAACAGATGTGCAGCAGAAACAGAGAAATTCTTGCTTGCACTAATCTGAGCTAACAGCTGTTATTAGGGCTGACTCTGAAATACTTCTGTCATCACTTTTGAAAACGAGCTTTTCAAATGTGGAAAGGGGAACTTGCAAATATGAGAGGGAAACTTCAAGGATATACATTTGGCTTTTATCAGTCCAGAAGTCCATCACCTTTTAAACTCACAATCAATATGTTGCCATTATAAGCTCTGCCTCCAGACATTTTTATATGGAAGCTTGAAAATATCACTTCTATTGTGGTTATTCCTCTTCACTTTATTGACCACATTTTGAGGGAACTAATACAGAAGTTTAGAATTCTTGTGCTGCAGATAAACTTTATATGAATATATCTCAACATGTACATGCTCTGGTGACTCAACCAAAGGGTACTCTAATACAGTGACAAATAAGTAGCACAGGCTTTACAGGCAGATGGCCCACATTTAAATACCATGCTTACCACTTTGTGACTCTGGATAAATAATGCAACCTCTTTGGAACTCTATTTCCTTCTCTGACAAATGACATCTATTAGTAGATAATAGTATCCACTAATGTCAAGGATGCTTTGATGATTAAATTATATATTTAATCAAATATATATATATATATATATATATATATATATATGTATATGTATATATATATACACATTTTCATATGTGAAGTATAGGTACATGCATTTGTGTGTGTGTGTGTGTGTGTGTGTGTGTGTGTGTGTGTGTGTGGCTTAAAACCATGCCTACCACATTATACACATTCTTTAAGTTTTAAATGCTGCTGTTGCTGTTATTTATTATTAGTGTCATTACAAAGCTATCATACTGCTTAACCTATAAATCAGACTGGGGCACTGATTAATTCAAAATCTGTGTCTGTAAAACTTAACTCATGAGAAAAGTCCAGCTAAACACGTTTCATTTTTTTTTTTTTTTCACTGAGAATCGTTCTTAGAGAACTTAAATTTACTGAGTGGACTGCCTGTTTGGTGTGGTGTACAAACATGGAGAATATGACTGTGATTTATCTTAAAGCTGTTTTCTCAAATTCAGTTCTCAGTCATGAAATCAGTTAGAGGACATTGAAGAGTTCTATAATTTCACATTCAATTGTGGCAACCAGGGGATTTGGTTGAGTTAATTACCTTAATGACACATTTCAATTTGTGCTTATCCAGTATTTTAGCGTAAGATAGGATTCTTTGCTGCAGTGTTTGGTTAGGGCTCTACTGAGACTGGCGCCAAGTTTTTAAGTCTCTAAGTGGACTTGATAGTTAATATGGGGAGTGATGTGTTATTTTCCAAGTGTGAGAGATTGTGTATTTAACCATTTTTTCATAGAAACCAAAGAGCCATATTCTTTTAGCATTAGCAATGTAATTTCATTTTATCGTCAATAACAAGAATATATAGTTTGTATATTAAAAAAAACTATTACAGGATTATTATTCTGTCATTTTGCTATTTAAAAAATCCCAATTCTTCTTTTTCTGACGTACTCTTCTCCAAATAGCTTTTCTAACTCTGCCCTTTTAAAATCATCTATCAGACATTGATTTTTTTTTCAGCTTTTAATGGAATGAAAATTAAGAGGACCACACTGTGTGTGTGTGTGTGTGTGTGTGTGTGTTTTAAAAAACCCTCACATTTGAGCTCCTTATTTTGATAAAATATGTTTTCAGACACCAATATATTCAGGTGTGTTAGCTCTAGCTTCAGACAAAATACAATTTTTCATTATCTCCTAAGTCCACAGGGCAGGGAAAGGACTAAGTATGAGCTTTTACAGAATTATATCAAATATGTGAATTCTTGCATTCCTTTTTACATTTTTCAGTAACTCAATGGTAAATTTTTCCAACTCAATGTCCTTAAGTTGAGCCTGGTCTTAAGGCTAAAATCTCAACCATGGCCCTTTATTTGCCTGTCATTTAAAATATTTCAACAATGCATTAGTTTTAGTTGATTAACAAAAAGCAACTGAAATGCAAAAGATAATATTAATAGAATAATAAGGCAATTGATAATATTCTTCCTGCCAGATAAACATGCCTCACAGAAGGCTTAACTGTTACATACCTACAGTTTCAGCTGTTTGAGAGTTTTGATAATAGCCTGACATGTCAAAATTCAGCTGCCAACACCAAGCTGTCAGCTTTCAAAACGTTCTATGGAGTGTTTGTCCCTTAGGGCATAAATTCCAAGGAGCAACTGAGCTGCCCTACAACTTGACAGCTATCCTAGTTCTGGGAGAGCCTTGCATCTGTGCAAATCTAGGAAATGTAACTGCAGCTCGAAGATGAGGAGCTGTGATTGGAGCACAACTGCTCAGAAAATAGCATGGGGGCCATCTGGGTGCCAGATAATCAAAGGGCTTTTGAGGTCTCTGGAAAAGAAGCTTACTTCAGCTACACGAGCTGGTGCAGCTGGACAGAAAGCACTTACGCAACTGCTTCGGCCAAGATTCTCAAGGTGGAAAATGATATCCTGGAACCACTCCTTCCTCTGCTGGTGACCCTGCTAAGTAGAAGCAATTTCCCAGATTATGACAGCAATTTCTCATCAAGCATTACATAACCCCTATCGTTTCATCTTCCTAAAATAAATTATGCATGGCGTTTGGGAATTCATCTGGGAGCTGCAGGTCAAATGCCCCATTTGCTGCTAACTTATTGTTAACATTTTTCTTTTTTTTTCTGATTTATTAGCTATTTACACAGAATATTGCTTGGATATAATACATTTTCCTCAGTGCAGTGTTTCTATGACAAAGCAAATCTTTATTTTCTTTTGACTCCCCAAGGTCAAGTTATGGACTACCAGTGACCCTGAAAAAAAGTAGAGTACCATCCTCAAAAGATTCACATAATCTACAAAAAAGTTCTCACCTGACACTTGGATGTTTTGACAACATAAAATGGCTGTTCCATGAAGACAGTCTAGTGTAATGGAAGGTAGTTTGACTGTGGGATTGGTATCCCAGCTCTTCCGTTTCCTGGATGTGTGACAAGAGGGAATTTATTTCCGTCTCTTAGCCTAACTGGTGTCGTCGCTAACATGAAAACACTGTTAGCACCAGTTTTGAGAACCATTGTAAAAAATCAAGTTAATGAGTACATAGAGTGTCAGTACCACTGCTGGACTTAATTATGCTTGTAAATATTAACTATTATTTTCTACATACTTAAATTGTCACATTATCCTGATTTGATCTTTCAGGATTCATTATTTTGAAAAAAATGATAAATTGGTGAGTCAGAAAGCAGCACAATAATGTTACTTGTGGAATGAGTGTTCCTAATGTAACCACGGAATCTGAACACTAACCTACAGGGATTAGCACTAGATGTCCATGCTCATACTTAGAAGAGGGGCAACACTAGGGACAGCAGCAATATAAATTCCTGAGCCCCAGTTCTGACCTACCCAGATGCACATCCTCTGAGGGCCCACCCAAACATCCCATCTTGTTTATTTCTTATTTCTTTCATAGATGTAAAAGTATCTGAAATTATCACTTTTAAATTTTTATTTTTTGACTCTGTTATTTGCTGACCACACCCACACATTTTTCACACATTTCCGTTTCTACTTCTTTTTCCCTTCCACAACATTTGTGGGAAAACATTCCTTCTCCCCATTTTTTCTCACCACGTTGCACAAAGGATGCATGCAACAAACAGACCCTTCAGTATTCTCCTGCTCTCCATGTGAAGCATCAATGCAAATATGTGAGGTTCCAATCAGAGGAATCAGAACTGGAACAGTTGTCAACCATCATTGCTACATTGCAAGTTTATGCACCACCATTGTATAGATGTAAAAAAATGGTTGAAAAAAAATGGTTACTTCATCTCTTGTCTCTTGTTCTGATAATGTTACTCCAGAAAAAAAAAATGCACACTCTAAAACAAAACTATATTATTCTGACATGTATCTGGGTCATTTTTAATTAATTAAAAGACATAAAAGTAAATATTGTCACGTTAAATGTAAAGATTTCTAAACATACTGGCCTCCATTAAAGATATTCGGTAACTGTTCTGTATCCACAGGTGCATTTTCTATCTGTCATAAGTTTGCTTCCTTTTTTATGGTATTAAGTAATACCATAAGCGATCATCTTTGGCCTTGGATTCAGACACAAAATTATTCCATGTCAACTATGACAACCAGGTGTAATCTCATTTGTTGATCTGATATTTTCATGTTGAGTATAGCACGTTCTTTACGCTGAAATTACTGAGGCACTCGTATATTTGGTTAGCTTTCATTTGCAAGAGTCCAAATTTAGAAGACATTTTACAGCCATCACCTTTCACATGGGATTGACCAAAGTCACTATGTGGTATTCAGTTGGCAGATGAGAGATCCCAAATGGATTCACTCACATATCTGATGCTATGACAAAAGTGGCTGCAAGAGGGCTGTTGACCAGATTGCCTCTGCCTGGCCTCTCCAGCATGGCAATTTCAGGGTAGTCTGTGTACATAGTTGCTATTCAACATATGTTTTCTTAATAAATAAATGAACACAGTTGTCACATAGATTAAATTTCCATTAGAGCTCTCAACTAAGGTTTAACAATGAGCAATAATGTACCTCAATGCCCTGAAATAAAAATCTAGAGCATCGGAGCACTTTCCAGGGGGAATTCTGTCCAAAGTACAGATGTTCTGATTTGGAGAGCAGTCCTTGAAGGTCTTGCTTGCTTGCTGACTCTTGCAGAAAACCTGCCAGAAGATGACTGAATGGTGGTAATTTACCATAAAGAGCCATTACCTGTGCACAGCACTGGAAACATTTCTGATTGGTGGGAAGGAGAAACATAAGGATGCTCTTAAAGACACTGAGCTGGAAGCAAATGACCAAACACATGAAGATGCTAACTAACTCTCAGGATCACAACTCCAATATACACTGCAATAATTAGGTGCAGAATCACAGGATGTTGTTAACAAACAGTGGTAGAGGGCAAAAATAAAACAATGCTTTGAAAACACAAAGTAACTGTACTTGTTGGAATATATATTTACCTTGCTAAATAAGAGTATTCTTGGACAACATACATATCATGAATCTCAGTCCACAATTCTAGGTGTGTAAGTAATTCTATATTATTTCTGATTCAAAGCACAATTTCTCCGAGATTGTAAACAACTTAATACTAGCCCTCTTTGGGTTCCCTCTTTAATAGGGTCTGTCAGAGTTCTGAGACCTTCTGCCAAGCCAAGGCATGGAGAAGAATGTGGAGAGTAGAGTACCCTGTCCTCAATCACCATTCAGATGTTGCTTGTGAGGTATATAATCGCCTTTCAACAGGTCTGTAGGGTTTTTTTTTTTTTGTGAGTGTTTTTTTTAAAATATATTTTATTGATTTTTTACAGAGAGGAAGAGAGAGGGATAGAGAGTCAGAAACATCGATGAGAGAGAATTATCGATCAGCTGCCTCTTGCACACCCCCCACTGGGGATGTGCCCACAACCAAGGTACATGCCCTTGACCGGAATTGAACCCGGGACCTTCCAGTCCACAGGCCGACGCTCTATCCACTGAGCCAAACCAGTTTCGGCCAGGTCTGTAGGTCTTTGCTGCTTCTGTGGGGAAGCTATCAATTGTTCTCTTTGCCCAGAAAGCTTCTCCCCACCCTCACCCCCCCAGCACGAGGAGATATCAAAAGTGAAGCACGGGTCCTCTTTCAATCCCAGTAGCCATGGACTTCCCTCTCTTTCTCTCAACAGGCGGGGAGCACCTCTTTACCTAAAGGCATTATCTCTAAAGCTTTAACTCCTACAGGTGAACTGGGGCTTTTTTTGGAAGTGGAAATGACAGAAATGGACATTTCACATGCAGATCACTTTTCAGATCATATTGTTCCCATGGGAAATCAAGCCACTTTTGGTTGATTTGCTAGTCAATTAAGTCTGTATTACCAGGATTTACCTTCAAAATGAGTCTGTAAAGGCTGGCACATGCTTACAGCAACCAGACCGATGAGGAAACAAGTACAGATGCTGGCTGGAGAATACAGAATTTAAGGGGTGTGCTGTCTCTCACTCCAGACCTGTGATGAGATCACCCAAATTTCAAGGGATGCTAAAGATTTTTGTGTTAAAGCTCTTAGATTTTTAAAAGCCAACTCATTTGTTGTAACACAACATGTTTATACATAGTGTAGGCTAAACAAAATGCACCCCAAGGTAGATAGACCCAGCCCATGAGTTACCAATTTGCATAATCTAGATATAAGTATATCACTTGGTTAAAGAACTACTGTACCTAATACTATAGAGAAAGAATTTCTTTTAATCAGTGATTTATAAAATTCAGCTCTCTTTTTCCATTTCATAATAAAACTCAAATTTCTGCTGCTACCAGTTATAAAGGCAGGATATAAGATTTACTATTTATTATAAGGAAATGTGGTATCTCTGGCTCTTTGGACATCACCATAAAGATAAAGAATCTATTTTCTTGGCCTTCTCCTTCCCTTTCTTATCATTGCACTTTTTTAATCCTTTCGGAACACCATGAGCACAACCCGGTCCTTACTCAGAAACAGAGCCCATTCCCTCAGGCCCTTTCAGTACATATTAGTAACTGCTATGATCCACAGAATCATTTAGAATCAGATCAAAGTACAAACTTGCACCATCCACACAAACAAATCCTGACAATTACTAAATTGACGGTGTTCTTTTCCCAGAAACCAAGAATATATATATATATATATATATATATATATATATATATATATATATATATATTCTAATAATAAAGAGCTAATATACAAATGGTCCTCATGTCCTCCTGCAGTCATGCCCCAACAGCTCAGACACTCAATACTGGAGAGAGAGAGGAATGTGGACTAGCCAGGCACAAATGAGCTCCTGAGAGAGGAATGGGGACCAGCTAGGCACAAATGAGCTCAAAACAGAGGAATGGGGACCAGCCAGGCTGCTGCTGGGGAGAGGGACAAGCTGCATGCCCTGTGGTCTCAGAAAAGGGACAAGCAGCCCACCCCACAGTCCCTAGTGCCTGTGATTGTGGCCCAGGCAAAGCCGCCTGCCCACAGTCCCCTGCGGCTGTAGCTGGCCTGGGCAAAGCTGGATCAGGTCCTGGGAGCCTGTGGTCAGCCAGGGGGAGGGAAGCCTGGGCCCCAGGTTCCTGCAACCGGCCAAAGGAGGGAATCCTGGGTCCCAGGTGTAGGACAAGACAGAGGTGGTTAGCAGAGATCAGGGCAGTGGGGGAGCAGTTAGGGGCAATCAGGCAGGCAGAAAGAGGTGGTTAGAGATGATCAGGCAAGCATAGGAGTTAGGGGCGATCAGGCAGGCAGGCAGGCAGGCGAGAGGTTAAGAACCAGCAGTACCTGAGAGGGTGAAGGCTGGGCTGAGAGAGAAACACCACCACCACCACCACCACCACCACCCCCCGACCCCGCCCCATGCATGAATTTTAGGTGTATGTGTGTGTGTGTGTGTGGTCAAGGGCACATACCCTGATTGTGGGCTCTATCCCCA